GGGGGGGGGGGGGGGGGGGGGGGGGGGGGGGGGGGGGGGGGGGCTTCGGCCCCTCCAGTATATATGTTAAAAAAGGCCCTGTTACTCTAATATATTAGTCAACGAGTATTGGCGACTGCAATAGTAATGCATGGCCAAGGTTACAAGACAATACAGGGTAGTTTTGTAAATATATAGTACTTTTGGTAGTATGAACATGCAAGTCGGCATGCATGCAAGTTATCATCCCAGTACAATGGCAATGGGTTTGCTTTATACACCTGCACAATGGCAAGGTTGACTTTTGTTAAAATATAATAGTAAATATATAATATCAAGATTGCGATACACTAGACACACACACCTAACACCGCTCCATTGGATACAGTTCTACTTATCCCAAACTGGCAACCGCTTGTAGTCAGTATATTGCTCAAATACATAGTGTGTAATTCGATCATTTTCTTTACTCCGTTGGTCGTTGTCGTGTGCAGTTATAAACATTTCATCTGTGTAGATATGTCTCAATTGTGACACCCATAATATGTGATCTAAAACTCAAACTCCTGAAATTACTATAGTAATATTCAAATTAACTTTGGTGACTACTGTAGTAATAGTCAAGTTTATTTTAGTGACTACTGTAGTAATAGTCAAGTTAGTTGTATGCCCACACAATGGCAAGGTTAAGCTTTGCTGCGTGGTCCTCACGCGGATCCCTGATCTTAGATCAGTGCAAGCACAATGGCTCCTATTTATATTTTGATTTGTGGTTCGGTAATAAATACGGTAATATTATATATAAAACAGCAAAATAAAATCGGAAACAAGAATAAACAAAGAAATAGTCACTTACCCGTTGCTTTAAGAGAAGAACAGACAACTTCCTCGACAAATTGGCGAACTTTGAGTATAAAATTTTGAAACAAAATTGATTCGGAGTGGTTTCCGACGATATACAAAAGATCGCCAAGCTGTCGGAGCCACTTCGGGCTACGCTATTATACGAAAATCCGGACAGACATCAACGCTTTTGAGTATATGATAGTGGCTAGCCCGCGAACGGGCTAGCCACAAAAAATCGACAATATAACATTTAAAGAAGTGCCTGTTGCAAAAAGTTGATCCCCCTAGTATCCGTCAAAAAGAATGTATAAAATGCGTACATGTTGTGACATGTTCAGTACAGAAACATATATTATTATATTGTTCGATATATGACTTACTTTTTAGCTTAGGTTTTATCAAATAGTTATTATTTAATATGACAATTGCGTTATATGAGTTTGATTTGCGTTATTTGGTACAAGATTTTTACAGTCTTTCAAACTTATTGGGGGGGGGACTCGGGCCCCCCTCGCTCCCCCCCCCCCCTAGTGTCCGCCACTGCATTAGATATATGCATGTCATTCTATAAGTGAAGGCTTGCAATGTTAAAATCACAACGAGTCAAGTTGGAATTTTACTTCTGTTTTCGTTCACCACTTTTACTCAACAAGACAACATATAAATATAATAACTTAGCAAGACCACGTAATGTTTTACTCACACCAAAGTTTAAGCTTATATATTAAGTACTCATGCAACAATTACTGTATTTAGATCATATATCACTTCGAGTCTTCTTCAGAATGTTTGTTGTATTACAATGAAACAAAAATTGTTCATGTTCATAACTTACCCAGATAAATCATTAGCAGGCTTCACAACGTTGTTCAAATGATTTGGCTTGCCTTCATTCTCCGTTTCTACTGCCTGGTTTGCAGTACCAGATGTAGCATTGGCTGTTCCTTCAAATAAAATGGAAAATAAAATGTTTCCTTTTAAAATTACATCCCTGCAAGAAAGACTCGTTTTTATCCAAGAATGTCGCTTTCTAGATGTATCAGATTGTAAGAATCAGAAGATGCATTCCAAATTACAAGTCGCATTTTGGTTGTGTAAAATCGTTTTCCGAGAGAGGAAAGGGTCTTTTTTGCATAGTGACCGAATTTCACTGTGTGAATGCTGTTTATCTGGCACAACTATTTTCCTCGTTTTTTCAACAATCTGCAATGATACCACGTAAATTTCAATAGATTTGAACCAAATCCAGGATCGAATCACATGATCCCTCAACACCAACTATAGGGGTGACCTGTGGATATCTACGAGTAATTCCATGCCATTTCAACACAGGCATGACACCCACCCTCTCCAAATTTCTTTATATTTTGCAGGCAGTTAACAATGTGTGGGAATAGTTTAAGTTCAAAATTTGAGCATCGCAGCTGCAATAGTTTTTGAGATATCGCAATTCGAAATATGGCTCGAAAAGCAAAAAAGTGGGCGTGGCCAGTGCTAAATTCATCGTTACCCTATTTTACATTTTGACCTGTAACTTCATACCCGTACATGGTATATCCATCACAATTTGCACAAATATGTATTTGTATGTGGAGATTTCAAATATTGCACTTTCATCTTTGTATTTGCAACCAGTAATGTGTTATGGCACAGTAAAGAGTCTAATTATGTGTTTCTGAAGACACGAAATATACATCATCTTTATTGGAAAAATTTTTATGGAAGCCATACAGACACAACAGTAATTTTTATTCCACATCATATCCCCATGCTATTCTACTTTTAAGCAAAATTTGGTGATGGTTAGTTGCCTGCTTTAAAAAGTAGAGCCCTTTAAAGTTGTCGTATTTTTTAAATAACTTTAATAGTACGTTTTGGATGTTTGTTAAGAATAAAATACATTCATTGAGAAATGAGACTGCCAAATAGCTTAATGTTTGATTCTATCATTCTTTTTTAATAGTACATTATGTTCTCCAAGAGTAACTGTTATTTCTTGTATCAAATTGCCTTTGATCAAAATCGATGCTGTATATATAGAGATCACTACTGTTTATCCATGAATGTGCGCAAGACTTCTTGGTCTTTAGGCTGCAGTTTGTACTGCCTCCCAGTGACTATTGTTGGAACACCAATGTTAGAAATAACGTTCTCATCCGAAACCCAACAAGTATTAGTGATTGACCAATTATTATCAATTATTCATCCAATAATCTACCCGATTCTGATTTTCTAATCCATTTCGAGATTTTAATGATAATTTCCAACGTAACATGTTACTAGTAGCAACCAAAGTTTGTTAAACCTGTACATAAATGACACGCTTCACGTATTAGTTCGTCGCGGCAACGGTTTGCTCCACACCTACTATGCAACACGCTACCGTTCGCGCAAGAGATTAAACAGTTGTTGTTTTCACATAAAAAAGTGCATTCAACGTGTATCACCGGGCAATATATATGATTTTTAAAGTGCGTATTTTCTCAACAATCGGTTTACACAATCGGAAAATACAAATTATTCTACCGATTCCGATTGTCTACCGATAAGCAAAAATCGAGGATTCCGATTATATATATTTTTTTATTAAAAACATCTTGTAACACGATAGCTAATCAACTAAAAAAATATTAGCAAGGTTGTCGTTACTTTTCACTAGGCCGTGTACTTACAGACAGTATAAGAGATTCCCATGCACCCACCCTCCCCGAACCACCCAAATAATATTAGAAAGACATTCAAAGTTTATTATTCACTCCAACCCCACCCAGATAAAATTATATAAAAATTTTATTTCTTTCATTCAAACTTTAGCGGCTGCATAACCGAAAGTTTGTTTCATTGAATTTGTTTTTGGCTTCAACAACATCAACTTATTTTTGTTATTTTTTAATTCATAACGATCTGAATTATATAGTTTAAACATGTCCGAAATGTTATCGTGAAATTGGCATGTAAGTGCTTTAGATACATATTTTAGTCGTTGCTCCGTCCTTTTTTCACCTAACGTTTTCCAATCTAGTTTCTTTAAAATATCTATGGAGCTTATTTCAAATGAATCACCCGTAATAACTTTTGCAGCTCAGTTTTGGAGTTTCTGAAGATTGCCTCTTAAAGATTCGCCACAGTTACCCCAAATCATCATTGATAAAGATGTTTAAGAGTTTCCGTTGAAACGTATGGCTGGCACGAGTACACGACGCAATTATCGGCCAATCGCTAACAAGTATCCTCTTACTGGCCAGAAATATGATCTTGCGATGCACTTTGGGTGCATAAACCTTATTAATTTTTGCATTTCTTTGATCATTGTCAACTTCTTCAATCAAATCAAGCCATTTTTCATCATCTTACAAGCATACAATAAAAGAGTTAGCATACAATGAAAGTACAATTGATTCACGAGCAGGGGTAGATAAGAAATAAATTGTATTGCATACTTTTGATCCATTGATATTCTTTTTGTGTATGTACTATTAATAAATATGTAATTTTAAAACTTTTAAAACAAATTTTAAATATGCACTATCAATAAAGAAAGATCGAATGAAACATTAAGGTATTTGGCAGTCCCATTTCTCAATGAATGTATTTTATTCTTAACAAACACCCGAAACGTACTATTAAAGTTATTTAGAAAATACGACAACTTTAAAGGGCTCTACTTTTTAAAGCAGGCAACTAACCATCACCAAATTTTGCTTAAAAGTAGAATAGCATGTGAATATGATGTGGAATAAAAATTACTGTTGTGTAATTATGGCTTACATAAATTTTTTTCCAATAAAGATGATGTATATTTCGTGTCTTCAGAAACACATAATTAGACTCTTTGCTGTGCCATAACACATTACTGGTTGCAGATACAAAGATGAAAGTGCAATATTTGAAATCTCCACATACAAATACATATTTGTGCAAATTTTGATGGATATACCATGTACGGATATGAAGTTACAGGTCAAAATGTAAAATAGGGTAACGGTGAATTTAGGACTGGCCACGCCCACTTTTTTGCTTTTCGGCCCATATTTCGAATTGCGATATCTCAAAAACTATTGCAGCTACGATGCTCAAATTTTGAACTCAAACTATTCCCACACAATGTTAACTGCCTGCGAAATATAAAGAAATTTGGAGAGGGTGGGTGTCAAATCAGTTTTTTTTGTGTTGAAATGGTATGGAATTACTCCTACCTGATCGCAGGTTAGGATGGGGTCGTGTTTGGAAGGGTAGGTGCGGGCATGGTTCAGTATTTATTCTCCAAAACAAAGTGACCATTTACTATCTATGAAGAACCAATCAAATTAAGTCCCAAAAAAAAAGACAAAGCTCCAGGTTTCTGTGACCGGACAAATAACAATCTCGTTCTGGAAATACATTACATCAACAATAATAGCAACAGTATACAACTTCCCTACCTGAATTTGTGGGAACAATTCAGTATTTTAGTTAAATACACAACAATATAATAAGTTATACTGTTGTTTTGTATTTACTTCCCTACCTTCGGCTGGTTTATCCGGACCACCAATTTTTTCAAAATTGATCACAACTCCCATTTGAAACTTTTGAACAAGTGAGTCCAGGATGTTAGACAGAGATTTCGGTGTGGTGATTATGTAAGATCGTCCTAGAATTCGCACAATATAATTAGAAAATAGAAATTAAATGCATGTGGCATCATTCTTTTATTCTCTGTTTAACAACTTACAACACTTTTTATTGACAGGTTTTACTGCACATATATTTAAAATACCTTTTTAAAATACTATTGTATACTTGTTTTGGTTCTCTTGTTGAAAACTATTGCTATAGCTACAATCTTCTTTTTTATGATGAATCGATCAATCGGGAGCAGCTGTAACTGGAATGTACCATGCCTACATTGTATCCCCATATTTGTGAAATGTACATAGCACATTGGTCCTCCTCTAGAACTATTAAAATTATTTTACTTACCTCCAGTAACCTCACACATTGGTGTTATTAAGTACTCGTTAGCAACATCTGCAATAACACCAGCCTGTTTATCAAACCCATGGGGACTGCCAGGAAATTTTAAGAGGAGAGAAAAAAGACGTTGGTCCCAGCGGAATGGTTCTTTAGTCAGATCATAACCAGGAGTGGAAGGGTCGATTGGTAACTGCAACTAAAGCGTTTTAATTAACAAGGTTTAAATTAATTCATTATTCGAATATAAGGGCATGTGCTCATTTTCATGCCTAAATAATTTGTGTTCTTGCAAAACTAGCCAAGAATAATTTGCAATGAACACAGCGAGCCATTTGAATAAATAGAAACTCAGTTTTGGTAATACGAAATATCCCTTGTGCAGGACTCGAGATTGAAGAAAAATGAAATTTCGAATCAGACAGACTTAATAAACCCAATCTGGGAGCAAATCACATGCAAATTTGACTATCATAAGTGCAGAAATTGCAAAAAATATTGCGACAAGACACTACTGTATGACAATGCATGTGCAAGACTTCTAGTCCAGGTTTCCAGTTAGCTCAAGTTATTTTGCAAGAAAGCACTGTCATTGCAGACCCCAACATCTGATGCTCATGCTCAGAGTTACTCCTGACATTATTTACAGGTTTAATAAATCACTCAAAGAAAGTTTGTTGGTATTATTTTACCGTTTGATTAACCCCATCTGATGAGGTGAGTTTTCCACCGTCAGTTATACAAATTACCATGGCAGGATCCAGGTAAAAAGGATTACGACCCTGGAATATAGAAAACAGAATGGCTGATACAGCAGTTAGAACCCTTATCTTCAGTGGCGGAAATTCATTTTTCCGGTGGGGGGCAAAGCCTCCTAAATTTCAGACAAAAAACTTTCAAATTTCCGACAAACCCCCCCATTTGCACTTGAAAAGGCTGTTTTTAGCCCTCTTTTAGGTCAAAATTTCTGAAAATTCGGCATTTTCCATGAAGGTGGGGGCGACCGCCCTCCCCGCCCCACCAAGATTTCCGCCACTGTTTATCTTAGTGTCTCACAGAAGCCCCTAATCCACACATAACAAAATGTTAATTAAAAATACAATTATTATGTTACAGTATCCAGAGCCTGAAATAACGGCCGGCGGTTTTCCGACCAAATTCCAATTTTTCCGACCAAATGCTGAAATGATCGGAAATTTTGTCCGGCCAAATTTTGAGAAAAAGAAAAATGTTTTCTTAATGATCGGGTCGGCGCTCAGCACAGTGAGTACCATCTGTAAGTTTGGATTATCTATATTAGGCTAATATAAAGTAATCAACTGGAAAGTATAGTTCACGGGCAGCCTAGTCCCTGGGCTTCCAAGCGCGGGCGAGTTACAAGCTGTCGTGAACTTGCGGGCTGTCAGTTTCCCCAGTCTCCAAATAATACAGCTTTATCATGGTCAACCTGCAAACCTTATCGATTTCCCCCTAAAATAATGAGGCGGAAGCGAGAAGGCCAGGAACTAGGCTGGTTCACCGGCTCAATAAACAAGAAGGTGGCTTACAGCGTGGTGTTGTCGTGAAAATGTGAAGTGAGTCTTAATAATTTGCAATTTAAATCACCCGTCAATCAATTTAAAACACCCGTCGGCTCACGACCATTTTGAATTTTCGCTACAGTTACAATTACCTTACACAATTGCAAGTAGAGTGATTTACTCAGTGCACGTCTGCATGCTTGACAGAGTTTGCTCATTGGGGGGGGGGGGGCGTGTGGACTTGGTCAAACTAAACTAAAAAATATTCCGGTCAATTTTGCAAATTTCCGGTCAAATTTCGTTTTGATCGGAAGTTTTTCCGGACAAATTTTAAAATTATTTCAGGCTCTGTAATCTCTCTCCTACCATTCGTAATAGTTCATCCGTTTCCTCCTTTAAAAACAGACTAACTGTTCATTACTCTTCTCTACTTCATTCATCTTTCGATGTAAACTTGGAAAACCTTCTGTTCTAAGTGCCGCTCTTTCAACTTAAGCTGTTGTTCGTAATTCGTCATGTTTTCTGTAAATTTTATATTTGTTATCGTCTTTGATTTATGTTTGTTATAGTTTGTTTTCATTAAGGTTGGTCTTCATATGGGGCTATTCATGTCCTGTTGACCATACCTTCAACCATATTATGTAGTTTTTTAGTCTATTTTATGTATGGTTGTAAAGTTAACAAGACGCCCACTCAGGCGTTCACTCCGGGTACAGGGCCTTAACTAACGGCGCAAAGCTACTTTAACGTATGCTTATATACGGCAATGAAGGTATGTTTAATGCATGATATTCAGTAGCATATTAAAGTTGGAAAAGTGGGAGAACTACAGTGTACCACTTGACCAGGTGACTAAAAACATATGCAATGATCATAATATTTTATAACATAAAAATAAAAGGACATTGTGACACTGATTATAATAAAAGCTATCTAGTTCTTTATTAAAAGTTCTATTTAAAACATGCGTAGGAGTGTTTTTTCGAGTCGTATATAATAAGTCGGAGGCTGTATTTTACAGATATTTTATGGGGTTTTTTATTGTCGAGGGTAGAAATTCGAGGGTGAAAAGCTTGAGGGTACATTTTAATAATTTAACAAAATAATAATTTAAGTTCGTGTTCACTTACTTTACTTTTAATTTTTAGCTCTTATTTTTAAATGCAATTATTAATTTTTTATATGCGATTACTTTTTATATGACAAAATATTACTACATAAAAACAGACATGCCGATCAAAAGCTACAGTCGAGATAGTTTCAAACGGCATGGTGCATTATCTGCGTCATCTCGGATTGAATGTCGCAAATTATTGTACAGTCTATTCACTATATGGTCTATTGAATCAGAGTAATCAGGACTTGTTTATACACCTTTCCATTGCCATACGCCTTTTCCGGGTTCGCGACGCCATCTTCAAAGTATTGTTTTCGCTATTGTGCTTGCCACATTTGTAAATTTATCTATAGGGAATGCCCGCAAATTTCTACCCTCGACAATAAAAACCATAAAATATTTTAGAAATACGACCCCGTAATTTTTATATATGATCCTCGACTTTTTATATATGATTTTTCGACCCTCGCTTCCCACCCTCGACCCTCGAGAAGAACTCCTGAAACTGAATTACTAAAAATAGCTAACGTAAACAAACCACATTTATCAAACACGCAAAGAAAATTATTTAAAAAGTAATATATTGTTAGTCGTGTCATATAGTTAATTGTCAACACTTTTTCAATGCATGGTAGTAAGTTCATAACTGGCACCATAACTCATAATTAAGTTATGTTGATATTTTGTTTATACAGATTGATTGTTTTAATTTGTAAGGCTTCTGTAAGTTTGTTATTATCAAACGTTTAGATTGTTCTAGTAATGATTTTACTTTAAGACCAAGACAATGCAGCTGTCGAGACCGATTTTTAATACTCTATAAATAAAACATTAAACTGTGTAATAGACGTACTAGTGTTGGGTAAAGCTATTTAGTTATATATATTTTATATGCGCTTTTGTCTGATCCAAGCGTGGTAGAAATATTGCCAATATTGTTGTGGTTTGCGATATAAATTGCCTCGCGAATCGAAGACTTTCAGATATGTCATATGTCGAATAGATTTGTACGTTATTTGTACTTCAATTTTGGCCACGAAGCACAAAGGGAGACTTAAAGAACACGAGTGACGGGTGTTAACACAATTTAACTACGTACAGTGTTGACAAAATTACTGCGGATTTCGATTTACCGTTTCAGCGCATTAATTTCCGGTAATTGTTTTCCCGTTGAAACATACACGTTTCTAACGGTCAATGTCAATGTTACTAAGTGAAGTCTAGTGGTCTTTATCCGCTGTTTTCTTGTCCGTTGTTTATCATTTGTAAATGTAACTGTTATATTCGTGTTTATCTCGTCTTTGGCAACATTTTGATATATAATTTACAAAGCTTTGTGAATCATTTCATGTTTTTATTGATATTTTGGAAATTGTAGCGTATAAAAGGCTTCAAAATTATTTACTGGCCTTTTATACGCTACAATTTCCAAAATATCAATAAAAACATGAAATGATCCACAAAGCTTCGTCAATTATATATCAAAATGTTGCCAATGACGAGATAAATACGAATATAACAGTTACATTCACAAATGATAAACAACGGATAAGAAAACGACGGACAAAGACCACTAGACTTCACTTAGTAACATTGACATTGGCCCTTAGCAACTTGTTCGTTTTAACGGAAAAACAATCACTGGAAACGGAAGCCCTGAAACGGTAAATCGAAATCCGCAGTAAAAAATACCGGGCTAACGTCAGTAACGAACCAATACAAGCCAGTTGTCGATCAGAATTAGCTTTGCAATAACGGCAACCGCTACTAAACACGCGAGAAAGTCGCGAATTTCGATTTGTATTTATATGAACTGTGGTCACTGTATAAAAACGAGTGTATGAGAACCCCTGCATTTGATAATATTTACTGTAAATAGAACTAAATACATTGTAAACACAACGCTCGCTCTGATCTACTACGAATGGCGGCTATTTTTAGATATTTCGTATTTTTGTAGTGCGTTGCGTGCGTTGCGTACGGTGCACCTGTGGAAGTGCACACTTGTGTCGCCTAAGAAAAAAGATCTGCCATTTTAATACTCCGGTACTTACAGTACCCGGAGTAATAAATAAATAAATAAATAAACAATTACAGCGTCTAAGATTTGTAACGTAGTTAAATACGAGACAGCGTGAGTATGTTTTAGCTAAATTGCGCAATCCTGAGCCCACGATGCCGCAATGGAAATTGGAAAGTCACACTTGCGACAACAAAAAAATCCCGAAAAAGACAGCATTTTCAGCGAGGGCATTCTATGACACTGGCTGCGGCCTGGGTAATTAGTAATTGAGTGTTATAATTCATGTTATATTGTGTTACACGTGAACATACTCGGCTCAATTCTCAAAGATAGATAAATAATAAAATTGCGTTGACCACGTACTTTAAATATTAAATTATCTGTACAGGCTCCTGACTCAGGCGACGATGGTGTTTCCATATTGAAAACAAAACTGTCAAAACATTTATATCGATATGTCGAAAAACACCGAAGCACCAGAAGCAATTAATGAAACATATAAATATTGTAGCGGGAAAATTTTTCATTTACGTGAGTACGTGAATTTCAACTTTTCATTCTTTCAAGCTCTAGTTGCCCCAAAATCTGGTGCATATGTGTCATTCAAGCTGCCACGCCAAAACGAGAACATTCAGATTTTTAGCTAATTATGCGCCAAATTTTGGCGCATTTATAATTTCTGCACGCCAAAGATCTTTGGCGCAACATACGAACTTTCCAGTATGGACTAGCAGTTTATAATATTTGTGAAGGATACAATACAGCTTGTTTATACTGTATATAATCTAGTGCTAACTGCTCTTTATGAAACAAAAGCAAACTACAGATTACATGAGCTGCTGTTTAAACTAATAAACTGGCACTAAAAACAAAAGCCAGTGCCTGAAACTAGAAACAAAATGTATGAACACAATGTATAAATAACCATGTACAACATTTTTTATGTCTGCTCCAGAAATATTGCCATTGGTGTAAATATAAAATATAAGTGTTTGACAAATACATATTTATACCTCGATTTTATACGCATATCGGCCCCTGACTTTGCCAATCGAGAATTAGTCGAATAAAAGGTAAAAACTTAAAGGTGATCTACAGTCCGATCTGCGCATGTGCACAAATGAGCCCACTTTTTATGATACAAACAGTTTAACTATGTTTTGAGTTCTTGGAAAGCCTGATTGTTGTTTCTTGATAATTTATTATACTCTAGAAGCTTGAAAATATAAATAGTTGTCGAATAAAGCTCAATATTTTGGACACAAAAATGTAAACAAAGGCTTTGTTTACATACGGACTGTAGATCACCTTTAAAATTTTCACAAATCTTACCTTTCAGAAGAAATATTCTTCCTTTTAAAGTCTTTACAGCGAATTTTTGCATCCACAAGCGGAGAAAAACGGCATGATTTTGTCTTGAAAACATAAAATATTTGTGCAAAAACAGGGGGGCGAAGGTCTTTGTCGGATGCTTAGGATCGCGGTTGGTCAGTGGTAAATGCCATGAGCCGGAGGAACCATATGGCGTCAGCAAACGTGAAAATCCGCCATGTTTTTGGCGACACTTTTTTGACTGACGAGAGATAGGAGCACCTCCTCCAGTAATATAGTATAGCTCAGTGGTACATGATAACGTAATCTTCCGCAGTGTTCACAACGGTCAGTTACGTCTCTTATCTGTATGTCTTATCTACTCTGTTGGCCAAAGTGACGTACTTTCCGGAAGCGTGTATTGGGGTAGCACAGTGAACTCTAATAATAACTGGAAGGCTAACTCCTATGATGAAAGTCTATGATTCGTTGAAGCCGGCGCGCGGGAAAATCAGCTTTCAAAAGGACTAAGGAGAGTTTCGAGGAGTGAAAAAAATTCTGTCAAAAGTTTGTTTTCGAGCAAAAATTTGCAAGAAAAACACTTTTCCCATGGGAATACAACAATGATTGGGATTTAAACCAAGTTTCCGATTAGTTCCGACTGTTTTACATCTCTCTGCAGCAAAAAGTAAGGAATTTTGCTTTTGTATTTTGAAAAAATGACGAAAGTTTGGACGTGCCGAAGGAAATCTCGCCGTTCAAACCAAAAATATATACTATAAAACATTTTGACAGTCCCAAAACTTATGTTGTACTAAACCCCAGGTATTGTTATTGATCCTGAGCTTTTAGTCCTTGTTTTAGTCGCTCTTAAACATAAATAAATTGGCGTTTTTCAAGTGATGTTATTTTCGTCATCGGCATCTTGTTGGCCACTATGAGCACTTTGAATATGGCAATATTTTTGTCAATTTTCAAATGCTTTTTTTTCGACCTTAAAACGTTAAATCTTCTTGAAACTTCGCATACAGATGTATTTTGCATGGGTATAAAAAATTCCTGAGGTATGACGTCTTAGTTTTATCTTAAACTTCCCAAAACTCAGAAAAAGCAGCCTAAAACGCGCGGTTTTTCGGACCGTTCATGCTTATGGTCGTCTTTTTCGCATTTTTTGCTAATTCGTGATTTGTTTGCTTTGCGAATATTAAATTCATTTATAATACTACTGATATAAATTAAATTTGGTAGTATAACTAATATTTTGGGCAAGATTTTTCTGATCGAAAAATGTGCATATTTTGAAAAAAAAAATTAAAAAGGACTGGGTCTACCTACAAAAAAAGCTTCAAGCACGGCTTCAACTTCCCCCCCTGACTTAGCCTTCCAGTTATTATTAGAGTTCACTGGGGTAGCATCGCCGGTCGGCGCCCGAAATATTGAATATGGCGGTCAAGCCATGAAAAATTAAAGAAATTTTTAATAAGTTTTCAAATTGTTTTCCAAGATTGCCAGATTGTGAAGATGATATGGCGTTACCTTTCTGTTGCAGTAACTGGCGAGTTTGGCTGAAGCCATTGGCAGTCGTTGTTTACATTTTATTGCTGTGTATTTCAGTGCCATTATGTATTTGGGAACTGCACAACAGAAGAGCACAAACTCACACACAAGCTTGGTTTATTGGCGCTATATTTGTGTTTTTCACGATCGGTTTTGCATTCGCCGGTATAATACAACATCTGCTCAACTACACAAAACCTCATCTACAAAGATATATTCTTAGGTAAAGTAAAATAATATACTGTACTGTAACTTTTGTACATTTTATGATTTTATCATTTATTTGATGACCCTATGATCAAGTTTATTATTAACCATGTGTATTCATCATTTGAATTGTTCGTTCTGAATTATGTGTCGGCATATATTAAAGGACAATTCGAAACAACACTTACAATACAATACAATAATTTATTGAACTCTCCCCAACGGGGCTTTTCGGAGCCAATTAACATTTACAAAAAATTATAAGATATACTAAGTTAACATGAAATTCTAACTAACTAATTACTGGTATGGATGTAAAAATTGTTAAAGGCCAAATGCTACTACTATGAATGATTTCCTAAAAGATATTTACGTAATTTATGTTTAAAATGTTAATTGATGAACTACATTTAATGTTCTCTGGAAGTTTGTTCCATAAGGAGACAGCACGGTAATAGAATGTCCGTTGTCCACACATGACAGATTTGACTGTTGATACTGAAGCAACAGTGAATCAGAGCATAGCCTATCGAAGGGAAGATGGCTGTGAAACTCATTAGAATAACAATATAACTCATTATCTATGTTAGTCAACATTTATTCATAAATCTGGTCCTACACCGTAATTGTATTTTTGTCCAACTAACCAATAGCAATGTTTTAGAAAAGTTACAGACCTGTCTATTATTTACCTCTTATTTTCTATGATGTATATCATAACACAGGCCATGGCCGGATTTTGAGGGGAGGTGTGCACCTCCCCTGAGATCGTTTTGCACCTCCCCTGAGAATTTTTGCACCTCCCCTTACCCTTGGGAAAGTTTTAATGATAAATCAAAGTGAAAATTTGACGTTTTGTGGTTGCTTAGGGAGTTTAACCCACAGGCGGCCCAATCTCCGAATGGTCTATATATTTTGAATATTTTATACGGAATATTTAACCGTTATAATATTTAATAACGAAATAATTCAAAAAATATTAGCAGTTTATGTAAAAAATATATCTATAAAGGACTAACTTGTTAATAGAATGCATTTGTTGTGTTTCTGAGTTTAGTTGATGCGATTGCTTTACGTTTTCGTCGTACTTGAACGGTCGCCAGTACTGGCACTGGCTACATAGGACATAAATAACTACAAGGCTAGCCACTTATCTGATATACCCTCCGACATCGAGTCCAATATCTCGCCTCAGAATCGTTGCAGAGCAATAAATTTCACATCGCCTAATAGTACAAACGTTCTTCTTTCGAAAGAACTTGGTTTGTTCACCATGATTGCAGCAATTCTCATGACACAAGACGAACTTTGTTTGTCCACATTCCAAAATTCCATTTTCGAAAGAGGCGCTAACCCCATGATCGTTGCCACAAGAACGGCTCAGCAACCTGGCCTCCTCGTTTGAAAATAATCCACCACGGGGGGGGGAGGATCTGCACTGGAATGAGGGGGCTTTCAAAACAACACAATAAAAAACACGATATAAATAATAAGACATATGGTTGAAGTGTTGAACGAAGTCAAGTTCGATACTTTAAAAAGATTGGTATGATTGTCAAAAGCTAAATGTTATAATAAGTAAATAACATTTTTGTTCTAAAAAATATGTAAGGAAAAGTTAATATTAATAAACAAGATATTTCTAATGTTTCTCACGCTTCTAAGAATAGAACTGATTCAAAACTTGTTTCTTGTTTATTGTCAAATACAGATGATAAAGTAATCATTTCTATTTATATTGTGTTTTTTATCGTGTTGTTTTGAAAGCCCCCTCATTCCAGTGCAGATCCTCCCCCTGGCGGATTGTTTTCAAACAAGGAGGCCAGGTTGCTGAGCCGCTCTCGTGGCAACGATCATGGGGTTAGCGCCTCTTTCGAAAATGGAATTTTGGAATTTGGACAAACAAAGTCTGTCTTGTGTCACAAGAATTGCTGCAATCATGGTGAACAAACCAAGTTCTTTCGAAAGAAGAACGTTCGTACTATTAGGCGATGTGAAATTTATTGCTCTGCAACGATTCTGAGGCGAGATATTGGACTCGATGTCGGAGGGTATATCAGATAAGTGGCTAGCCTTGTAGTTATTTATGTCCTATGTAGCCAGTGCCAGTACTGGCGACCGTTCAAGTACGACGAAAACGTAAAGCAATCGCATCAACTAAACTCAGAAACACAACAAATGCATTCTATTAACAAGTTAGTCCTTTATAGATATATTTTATTTTTTTACATATACTGCTAATATTTTTTGAATTATTTCGTTATTAAATATTATAACAGTTAAATATTCCGTATAAATATTCAAAATATATAGACCATTCCGAGATTGGGCCGCCTGTGTTTAACCCATTAAGCGCCAGCGCTCTACCCACTGAGCTATACTTAATATATCTGGAGATTGTGCTCTCGACGAAAGTGTGTGGCCAAAAACATGGCGGATTTGACGTCACAATCGACCTATTTTCATGGCAGTTTCCACTGACCCATGGCTCGAATGTCCGTGGGCGACAAAATTCAACCCCCCCTGATTTTACAGTGATTAATCATTTATGTACTGTTGTTTGTATTAGTTGATCGACGATGGAGTGTATTTTGATTTTCGTCCTTTTGAAAATACAGTATTATTCTAACTGCACGTATAAATCAATAAAGACCGAAAGCCATTAATAAAAAAAGACATGAATGGAGCTTGACGGCCACAAGAACAAAGCATGTAAGTCATTGAAATGATTTTCAATTCTTGTTGTATTGTGAATTTGTGTTGCAACTGACTATCAAGATTATTCTTTAAAACACGAGTATTATAACAATCCCCAGCAAGTAAAATTAAGCAAATATAGCTTGTTGAAAACCGTACTGCTATAAATTTCCCTGAGTGACAAAGGTTTTTTTAGAGATTTTAATACCAGTTTATTCTATTAGTAAATTGTGGGGAAAAGCAACTCTTTGGAATATAAAGCACTTTATATATCACCATTTATTAATAAAGATTTTACACCTGTATGTATTCCGCTTTCAGGTATGAATTTATCAAGAAAATATGGGATATCTGTACTAAGTACCAGGTGCATGGCAATGAAGAAAGTCAAGTGTATTTCTTTATAATGGTCTTCCTTGTAAAAGGCAATGGCACTATTTCATTGAACATTCAAGGAACAATCGCCTTTTAAAACAATGCACATTTTTATGCTCGAGTTACAATGTTTGATTTTGATATCTGCATTTTATGCGATTCATACCTTATTTTTAAGTGTTCCTCAAATATTGATTCAATACATTACCTCGGGCTGACCAATTCATTCCATCAAGATATTTGCTGTGTTGGTGTAATACATGTACTCAGGTGAATAAGATGCTTGTGTAATGTTACATACTCTGAGTGGATATCCACACTGGGCAGGCTTGAAAAATATGCCCGTGGCCACAGTGGGATTTGAACCTACAACCTTTGGAATACTGGCCCAATGCTCTGCCAACTGAGCTATACAGTCGGGGCAGTTCGAGTATGCGATATTTCGGAACTGAGTCTAGTTCCTTCGATATCAGTGTAATCTAATAACCATGATATTTGTGAATATGATGCTTGTGTGATGTTACTCCGAGTGCATATCCACACCGGGCAAGTAAAGCTTGAAAAATATGCCAAGCTTGAAAAATATGCCAAGCCACATTGGGATTCAAACCGACCTGACCGCATAGCTCAGTTGACAGAGCATTGGCATTTGGGCTAGTATTCCAAAGGTCGTAGGTTCAAATCCCACTGTGGCCAGGCATATTTTTCAAGCCTGCCCGGGGTGGATATACACTCAGAGTAACATCACACAAGCATCTCATTTCATCACGTTCCTCCAGATATTCATACACTTCCTGTGAAAGAGCCAATTCCAAGTATTTAATCATTTCTGGTCACTTCCTTTCTATTTATGATTGGTTAGTTGCAACTTGCACAAACAACAAAGGTGATTGGTGCATTCAAACCATTTAACAGGAAGTTTACAATTATACTAGGAAGTGTATGAATATCTTGAGGAACTTAATCAAATGAATTGGTTAGCCCGAGGTAATGTATTGAATCAATATTTGAGGAACACTTCAATTGGAACGACAGTGAAGAATTATTAAAAAAAATATTTTATTCAAAAAAAGATTTTCCAAGATAATTATATAATCATGCATAACGAATCTTCTGGAAGTTCTTGAATTCATTGGCTTGGAATTGGACGCTGGAGGGCAGATTGACGCTATTTACCTTGATATATCCAAGGCTTTTGACAAAGTTAACCACGAGCGCCTCGCATACAAATTGCGCATGGCAGGATTTGGAGGTAAACTTCTCCAATGGTTTCACTCCTACCTAACTAATCGTAAACAACGTGTGACTGTCCTTGGTGCAACATCAAATACCCTCCCAGTAACTTCAGGCGTACCTCAAGGCTCAATTCTTGGCCCTCTCCTCTTTGTCTTGTACGTCAACGATCTTCCTGACGCGGTCACATCCAGCCAAGTTGCAATGTTCGCCGACGATACCAAACTATTCACCTCCGTCAAAAGAGAAGACGACTGTAAACGCCTCCAAAGTGATCTTGACAACCTGCAAACAT